TCAGAGTATTAAATCGCAAAGATCTTAGGGGCACTGCCACTGTGCCTGCCACATTTCACTAAAATTTTTCAAAACATTTAACTTACTTATAATTATTAATACAAAGATCGAACATTCAGAAAAAACACTCAGAAAAAATTCCTTCGATCCGGTCGGATTCGAACCGACGTCTTCTTGCATACCGTGCCAGACGCTATACCAACTAAGCCACGGAACGAACCAACGGACCTCACGAATTCTTCTATGTGCTTGCGTCGTGTCTTTGTACTTGGTCTTTCAACGACTTTTTAGTCGTAGCGCCATCTATGAGAAATCTGTGACAGATTTATCACACATGTAAAGGTACTAACTAAAAAAATAATTGAATATCAATTCAATAAAAATTTAATTTAACTTACTTGTTAAATATATATACAAAAACAAATTATTAGGAAGCGAAGAATACACTTCGTGCGTCAGCTAACTTTAAAAAAAATTAAATATTTTCTTTTTTATCCTTAGATATTTTCAAAACCGGATTAAAAAAGACACACACCGAGGTGTGAAGAACGAACGAGCAGACGACTTGGCTTTATGGTATATTAACTCAGTCACTGTGATGTTGTCTCAAGTATTAATTATTGAAGCCACGGATTAGACCGCGAAATACTTTATTTTTAATTTTATAGTGTAACGAAAGCAGGTTCTGTATGTGCTCATCGTTTACAACATTTCCGAACATGTTTGAGAAATAAAAATTGCAGATCACACTATGACAATATATGATAAAGTTTGTCTGTTACATTTTCACGATTAAACCCATTTTTGATACATTTTGGTATATGGATGGATGGAACGAAGAATATAGGTTACGTTTTGTCAAAAAAAATCTAAAACGGGGGTTAAATAGGAGATGAAAGTTTATATGGAAAACCAACAAAACAATGAATACTAGATAGTAAAGTAAGCCACTCGAAGTACTAATCTACGCAGACTGAGTCGCGGACACCAGCTAGTTACTAATAAAGAAACAAGTAAGAGTGGTAGAGCGCAAAGCAAAAACGAACGCAATAGAGCGGTATCAAAACATTGCTCGCATTTATGCCCAGGCGCTTAAACGTTTTGAGCTCTCCATTTTATTAATTGTTTCTTAAGTCACGAATATGTTGTTTTGTAGCTGCTCTCATATATACAATGCAATACACTCCTATTTAATCTGCACCCTGTGGAACCCTCAGCCGGCCCTCGCCCTCCCTTCGATGACAAATTGACGCGCTTCGAGCATGTCATAACTGCGGGAGCACTTTAGTAGATTTATATAAATATACACTCGCATCATTGACTTTGTAAATGTGGTTATGGTTCAACAAAGCTTTACAACATTGAGACGTATAAAAGAATTGTTATAGTAGCTTAAACCAATATCAGAAACTTTGTAAGTGGTTAAGTTCTTGGGGGAAAGAGGCGACTGTTATGTATGGAGAAGGAAAGACAAACTGTTATTTACGACTTTCTTTTCACGTATCGTGCGTCTTGTATATCACATCTTGTGTAAAACTAAACTAACTAAAAATGCGACGTACAACTTAATGTAAATCGTCGTATGTTTACTTTTATATTGAATAAAACTTTGCACTATTGGTACAATAAAGTGACGTCTGCAAAATAACAACTTTTCGGGAGAGAGGTTTTAATATTTTTTCTTTCAAAACTCATACATTCATAATTGAAAACACTATGAAATCTTGATAATGATTGGTCGTAGTTTCAAATTTGAAAAGCAATAACAAATTCTTCTATATTAACGACATAATTTAAACTTGACCCTGTTGGCAGATCGTTGAGAAGTTCAATACCATCAATACTAATTATTGCAAGCTACGTCTAGACTTTATATTGAAATTTCCATCAATGTGCTGCCATCTAGCGGTTAATAGCTGAACGATGACGAACGATTTTAGATCATCACACACTTCTCCCAAAAAGAAGTGACCACATTGCAGCGGCATAAGATTTGCTTTCGTTTCTTCTAACAAAAAAATGATTACGGTAAAAGAAAATTGAAAATTTATTAAAATAAAATAAGACTCAATGATGATACGAAATACCACCACAGATAATAATTATTATAATTACGACTTACAAATTTGCAGTTCAAAGCAGCGAAATGTGGCATTTTTCTATGATTTGCGAGGTTTTGTGCAAGATACTGTACAGAGTGATATTCTGGGGAAACGCTTCGTAAAGGGAAATCGCTCTACGATCTCAAAAGCGATGTATACGATCTATTTGGGGTCTTAGATCTACTGACAGCTGTGCTAACGTTCCCAAGTTTGTACATACTGGAATTATGTACATTTCTAAAATCGATATCTACAGGGAAAAAACGGTCGTTCCGGGCGATTTTGGTATAAATTTGCAACACAGAAATGTCTTACAGCTGAAGTATCGTTTGTCCGAAAACCTATTGTTAGAATAATTATTATACATACGTATTCTTTGGGCAGAAGTTTGTTTGGTCTAATCATGTTTGTTATACTGTCTGTTTTGCATGTAATTTAAATTGCTGAAAATTCGTTTCGACAAAATTACTATTCTTAGATAAAATACAATTTTATACCATTTTATGCCATACAATTTTACCACACAGCAAGTCCACTTACATAATTTTTGTCATGTCATTGTGCTACGTTTTTGCTGTCATCTGAAATGTAATTTAAAAACAATGGTCTTGAATATTCAATAAATAACATAAAACTGAATCGGCCGGCGAGTGCCAGAGCCGAATTTGTTTGCATTACCTAGACGGTACGAGCCCCTCCTATACATTTAGGTTAGGTTAGTACAGTGGTGTAATGAAAAAAACTGTAACGTGTTTTTGGACAAATGGAACAAAATCTATTCAATAAAAGTCTAAAGGTTTTCGGAGAAACAAAATTCTGTAAATCATGTTTCTAGCTTGTGATAGGTCACCCTCTCCATGTTATATCCTTTAGAATACCGATAAGCTGGCAAATTTACGCGCCGTTCCAAGCCTCTTGGCGCTTTTCAACTGAATCTAATGAGCCCATTTCATCTCCATCTCACCTAATGGAAAGTGATGATGAAGACGACGATGTAGCATGCACCCTAAAATAATGCCTATTCACTCTCGTCTTGAAAAGCCAAGTTATAACGTTCGGGGAACAAGTCCGCTGGTAGGGAATTCCACTCTCTAGCCACTTGCCATATAAACGTGGAAGCGAAACGCTTTGCATTTAGCTGAAGCATCTCAGCAAGAGCTATTGCTATCAGAAATTACAGTCGTAGGTAGGTGCATACCGCCACGGGGATTCGAACCGTAGACCTCTCGATTAAGAGGCAACCGTTCTTCCGCTATACGAAGTAACAAAACACTGAGCTAATTCTTGTTCAAACAATCAAACATTTGCACAATTCGTCCATGTAATGGGTTGTAAGAGAAGGGTCATGTTGTGTATACATTGCGTAGTGTCGCGTGTTTCACCACAAATTGTAATTGTATCGGAAGCACAATTTGAGCCAGTGTGTCATCCAAAAACGTTAACTATTTAACAAAATAATTTTTGTAATTCAGTTTTATTGAATGTCAAGATCCATATAAAAGTAATTAAACTTTTTATGATTATCTTCACGGCAAAAAGCACATAGAAATATTCATGAGGTGTGTTGGTTCGTTCCGTGGCTTAGTTGTCATAGCGTCTGGCACGGTTTGCTAGGAGGTGTTGGTTCGAATCCAGCCTGTTCTATATATATATATATATATAATAAGTGTTCGATATTTTTTTAATCATCATCAGCATATCAGCCGGAAGACGTTCACTGCTGAACATAAGCCTTCCCCAAAGATTTGCAGACTAGTCGATCGGACGCGGCGTGCATCCATCGGTTACTCGCCGCCCTTACCAGGTCATCCGTCCGTCTAGTAGGGGGCCGTCCCACTGAACGCCTTCCGGTTCGCGATCTCCATTCGAGATCCTTTCTGCCCCAACGTACGTCAGTTCTACGAGCTATGTACCGAGCCGTGTACCACTTCAAGTTGCTAATCCTTTGTCAACTATGTCCAAAAAATAAAAAGTAAATATTTGTTTTTTTTATAGAACATGTAGAAATTTTTAAACGAGACCCCAGGTAACAATTTCTTAGCAACTAAGGACTAAATGAGGTTTGTTCGTATATATATATATATTAGTACACCGAAAGATATTAGTTTAGACACAGTTAATGAGTATAACAAACCTTTGTTTGTTTCAGGTTGTTCTAATTTTAGGATAAACGGTGCATGCAGGAGTACAGAGCTCACGAATACCTATCACCACAAGAAACATAGAAAATCACAATATATTTATATAATATTATACTTTTTATATTATTAGTTTTCTTTTTTTATTATACGTCTTCCTATCTTTAGTCTTTTATTATTTCCTCGCATTGCTTGAGAAAAGCACGCCTTGGCCGAAACGGGGATTGCTTGACTCGTATTAATACAAATTGTAAGTCACTCGTCTAGCAATTCCTTACTCCCGGCCTATTTAAATAACGCACGCGCTCATAGCCCGGTACTAGGGAAACCTTATAGCGCGGGTGCCATGGCCATCACATAAACAACCACAAATTAAACCTAGACTGACGGGAGAAGCTAAAGCTATAAGCTTTAATATCTCCCCGGCGCGGGACCTCTGCGTGGCAGACCAGCATGGTAACCGTTACGGCTACGGAGGCGTTGCCTTACATTAGCGTCATAACATGTACAATAATTTATGAAAAAGTAGGTTTAGGTTATTTTTAAGCATTTTTTAATGAAAAATAATGACAGAGGTAACATTAATACGAAAAATAATAACATAAACCTAATTAGTACAGTATACTAAAAAACCGACCTAAAAAGTCATTTACCCCCATGTTTACCTGCAGGTGGAATATTTTCTTCAAATTTAAATGGGACCACTACTGAGGTGCCCTCTTCCCAACCAAAAAAGAATCATCAAAATCGGTTCACAAACGCCGGAGTTATCGCGTAACATACGTCCAAAAAAACCTACAAGTGAATTTCCTCCTTTTATGAAGTCGGTTATAAATAAACACAAATACACACATTAACGTATGTACATACCTATAGATCATAGATTTAGTATTTTACCATGTATAAACAACCAATTCAACAGTTTTTTATTATAACCAAGCCAACGACGACATAAAAACTTCGACAATATTTCATTTTAGTAAAACCATAAAAATAAGGAAAGGTCAGTCAGGCTGCAATATCACGTGTGTCGATTTCAAAATCCACGTAACATAATGCGATACATTTGTAAAAATCGCTAATTTCGTGTCACAGTCTTTCGGATTCACCGCTATAACACCCACCACGGTATCATCCGAGAATATCGGCCCAAACTCATGTACAAAACAATCCTCGTAATCGGACAGATCAACACAGAACATGCTTGTGTCTAAATGTATACCATATCTTTCAAAACACCGCAACGACGGCGCAATTTTTACGGGAAACTTCTCGAAATCATTAGTCAAGTACAATCTCCTGTCCATCGCGGATACAGTCTTCCACACACTGGCTACAACATCTGTGATATTAAAGTCATTAATGCGAGCAGATTTTAATGAAAAAATTCTGTCTTGAATCACGTTCAATTTAGCCACGGCAATGTCGTAGTTTGGATACGGCGCAGACGCATCGTACTTCTCATGCAGCCTCCAGAACATAATGGGATATGTATTTGTGTAGTTTTTAACAAAATCACTGTACAACAGAACTCTATGCACAGAACCCGCGTGTCTACAATGTGCTGAAGTAACAATCCATTTAACCAAAATTACACTAGCGAAACACGCGAACTCCCAATTCGTGGAGGAGTTTCTGGTTATAGCAGCAACATAGGGGAACCTTTCCGCTACAGCAATGGAAGAATTTTCATTAGTTCGTATCAGACCCATGTGTTTGAACCTAAAGACTCCAGGTAGATCATCACGCAATTTATCGTCCACAGAAATCTCAGTGGCGAACTTCACCATTACACACACAGTTAAAACAGCAATGACGATCAAAGTAGAGAGGATCACGCACGATATTCTCATCTTGTACCGTGACTTTAGTATCTTGGCAAGCCGCTTGCACATCTTGCACGACGGTTCAAACTGCGTATAATTAGAACCTTGTCTATATACCATTACCGCACGAAAGTGATACGCTTACGCCGTTCATACCAGCTTTTTAGCTAGCCAAGCTAAGACTATTCTTCAAGTAAGTTGCAGCAAAAGCTTCGCCAATCTGGCATTTGACTGAAATGAACCAAATAGACAAAATTACATAATTTCTTTTAGTCGAATGGCAAAATAAAACGTTTTTATACCATGTGACAAGATGAACAAAAAAAAGTCGTGCACCTGGTGGCAAGCGACAAGCCTGTCCATAATAGTTGCAGTGCCGCTGAAAGCTTTAAATCGCAAAGGTCAGAGGGTCGCTGCCACTGCGCCCGTTACCCTGAGACTTAAATTGAAAAGTCCAATTTGCCTGTTATTTCACCAGCACCCATATCCTACAAAACCGAAACGCAGCAATGCTCGCATTACTGCTTGGCGGCAGAATTAGATAAAGTGGCAATACTTCCCTGGACGAACTTTTGACAAGGTGCTCTACTGCTACTAGACTTAAATTAAATAGAGCTTTTATAAGAATTGACCAAAAGATCTTAGCTCGCGGTATTGCGGCTTCACATATCAAATTTATGTTAACCCAAACGGGAGCCTTTGAATGCAATGATACTATAAAATTTGCAAATTTGCGGGTAAGTGAGTGTCGCAGATGAGATTTCCATTGCTAACTTTTTTAAAAACGTTACATCATGTTTTGTTTTGAGGGAAATACTTACCATACGTTTAAAACTTGAAAATTAAGCAACATCGTGTCTACAACTCGATTGAGGGCCAACCTCGTTCAGGATGTCCCTCAACGTCGAGAATGGATGATAACATTGAAAAAAATCAACACCCTGATGTATGAAGATCGGCGCCGAACTATTTATTGATCAACTCTGTGAAATCTCTGGATTGTCATAATAATAATAATAACAATAATAATAATAACGCACACACTCAACATAGCCCCGCACTAGGGAAACCCTGTGTCGCGGGTGCCATGGATAACCACAAATTACACCCAAACTCACGAGAGAAATAAATGTAGGTCATACAAATATTTCGCCCGGCCCGGGAATCGAACCTGGGACCTCTGCGTGGCAGTCCGGCATGGTAACCGTTCGGCCACGGAGGCAGTTACAAAAGTTCAATTACAGGAATTTTGACGCACAGGGGATTGGTTGTTCCACCATGACAACTCATACCTCGTTGTCTGTGAGGCAGTTTTCGACTAAAAATGGTATGACCGCGATTGTCCACCGCTTTCTATTCTAAGGGTACGACTATACGGCCCTTGCAATATGATTTTGATCCCTAGACTCGAAAAGGACATGAAAGGGAAACGTTTTAGGACCGTGGAAGCGGTGAAGCGAATCGCTGGAAGCATTCGCCATTCCAATCCATTCAGTGGATTTCAGAAGTAATTAGACAATTGTTTGTTGCAAAAATATTGATAAAGAAGGAATTCTTGTTACTTTTGGGCCACCCGTCGTATATCACCTGCTGGTGGGCAGGGGTCTCCTTGAAAACAAGTTTATGGCGTAGTCCGAAACGCTGGCCAATACGGGTTGAGGCACTTCGCACGTTTCCAAGGGCTGTGAACCGGCTTGGCAAAGCAGGTTGCCACGATGTTTTCCATCACTACGCAATTGAAGTAATCCTTTTCCCATTGAGCTACCACCGCTCTTTGTCTTTAATAACTTTAGTAGCTTTAGAGCTCCTTACCTATTTCTGCAGTAAGCAGTAATGTAAGTGCTGCATTCCGGTTCTGAAGAAGGGTGCTGGTGAAATTACAGGCACCTGGAACTTCTCAATTTATGTGTCAGGGTGACGGACGCAGCGACAGTACCCCTCCGATCTTTGCGATATAAGGCTCTGAGTGGCACTGCCACTTTTATGGACAAGCGTGTCGCTTACCATCAGGTGCACAACTTGTTCGTCCCATCATTACTATCATAAAAAAAGTCATTACTAATGTATAGGTACTCTTATTTTTAAATAGCTAAGATTTTTCTTGTAAAGACCCCAACACGCATTGGATTAGCGTAGTTGAGAATGATTGAAGCGATTTCTATATTCATGTAATAATAATAATAATAATAATAATAATGCAATAAACACCTTCTTAGTTACTTTCCAGAAAATTTTCCTTAATTGTAACATCCTATTAAAAGAATGTTAATCATTTTGCGATTAAACATAAGCGATATGAGCATTCTGTAAGATTTGCTGTTCATTGTCACAATTAAATTTTTAATTTACGTTTCTCCATTTTGATTCAATTTGCTTAATTGTAAATATCTTCTGTGAAACAATAAGCAAATATAGGCAAATGTAAGCAAAGTAGATAGATAAATATATATAAATACACTTGACAAATACTGACAAAATAGACATTGTAAATATTTTTGGATTTATAAACTTTTTTTTAAAAAGAAATGTAGCGGAGAATAAAGATGTATTAGAATAATTGTAACCTTTTTTTTTTTATAAAAAAACTGATTTCAAAAGATTGCTTATCCATATTTTATTATATTACACCACTTTCTGCCGCCAATCAGTAATGAGAGCATTACTGCGCTCCGGTCTTGAAGGGTAAGAGTGCTGGTGAAATTACAGGCACATGGAACTTGTCAACTTACGTCTCAGGGTGACGGGCGCAGTGGCAATGCCCGCTGCTCACAATCTCGCCTACCTATTTCCACCAAAAATTGCCTTCGCGAGCTCACGCTATGGTTGTGGATAGTGAAGACCCAGTGCGGTTCAATTCGTGAAGCCATAAACACGCGGATAAAGTACCGTGTCCCGCAAACTCTTATTGTCAAATATGTCAACGGAAGAAGAATCAGTTAAAGATACTGTAAGAAGAAATAATCATGTTGTATTATAAGCTGTTTGTTCCCTCTAAGATAAAATAAATAAATAAATAGAATTATAATAAAAATAAAATGAACTTTTTCGAAAATAATTTTTGATATGGATACATGTATGACACCAGGACTATATGTTTTTCATTGACTGTAGTTTGATTACTTTTCTCTGAAATAAAAGTATACATAATTTAGAAAATGTGGGAACGTTTACATTTCAATGCACGCGACAGTATCCCACAATCTTGCGATTGACATTAATAGCCATCGCGAGCATGCGCGAGCTCTCGCGATATCGTACGAGACATCCTGAATCGTGTTTCCGTTGCAGAATTAATAAAGAGTCTGTTGGGGCAGCAATACGGTTCAATGTTACAAACAAATATTTCAAATCTTGTCTCGCCCATTCTCGTCGATCCCGACCATTTCCGCCGAATATGCGCTTAGATGATGGAAAAAAAGTATAGGTCTTCTATAGGGCGAATTGTTGACGTAAGGTTGAAGCGTTCCTTTTCTAGCCAATCGAATGGACAACTGTGAGATCCATGCCGCGAATCCCATTATCAACATCCGTGAAGTACACAGAGCTCTGTGTTCTTCCTTCTTTTTCAGCATAGCTCTTTAGGCCGAATTTCGGGCGGTGATCACCATAATCTAGAAGATTATTGCACAAACGTGTGTCTGATAGAGATGCTTACAACATCCCGATTAGGGGAACAGACTGTAGAGCAGTACTCCAAAAGCTAGCGTCAAAATCGACATACTTAATATAAAATTGATTTTGACGCCTATACATTCATTACTATGATAGTTAAGTTTCCTCGTTTTAAGAACAAGTGAAAACACTTTGTAAGTAGCTGCAACGCTAACCCCGCAAAGCCAAGAAAGAAAAAACGTGAAAAAAATCATAAAGAAGCTAAACTCTCATAGCTAAACACAAAATAGTTATCAACTATTTTCGCACGTAGAATCTTTAAACCTTTTCCTGAAAAGTTGTAATTGAAGTAAAGTTATGTTTGACTTGGAATATCTTTTAGACTCCCCTAAAGTTTGGCTGGACGAATTAAGCCATGTCGGCCTTTAGTACACTTACTAAAGTGTGCTAACACTTGCGGACTTGACAGAATAAACGCATTACTTTCTTTGTAGTAGAGCAATAAAGTGTGTATCACGGTCGGATACATCTCAACAAAATGGTGCAAGTAAGATGCAATAAAAGATAGCTTCGGAGGATTGCTATTTGTCAATTGATAATCATCTTGAAGGGTCCTGCCTGTTGTGAATATTAACATTCCCTTCGTAGGAAGCTCGCACTTATCCATACAAAGCTTCTTTTATACAATTCTTGCTATACAAAGCTGACTAATCAGATTTGTTCCCTCGCTATGTTGCCTAACATCAGTACATAGAGACATTGCTGCAATTTCTCTCTCTTTAGTAGCAGTAGAGCTCGATGTGAAAGAGTTCGTCAAACATTACTGCGTTCCAGTTTGGAAGGGTAAGGGTGCTGGTGAAATTACAGGCACACGGGACTTGCCAACTTATGTCTCGCGGTGTGTGTATATTTGATGTTGTTTAGAATTAGAACTACGGTTGTTTGCTATTCCATGTGCCCTTAGATGGCTACAGTAGACACTCTTATTGGTAAATGTTCGCAAACAGTGGCGACACGTAAAAACACCGTCGACAAAGTAGCAAAAAAGATGGCTGCAGGTGTTTTAGACTTGAGAACATCACGTTTCGCGTCCAGGTCAACAGCCTCTGCCCCTCAAATTTTGTCACTGGAGTTTTTACAAAGTGCCTCGATCCAGAAAGGCAACTCCACTGCATCTCCCACCTCGAGAGGTAAATGTTGCAACTTGTCATTTGTCTTTTCAGAAAACCCTTATACCTCAAGAACTAAAAAGAAGCTACGCTTCGCTACACTCGATTTGAACATGCGCGAGACGAGTCCACAGCGACGTAGCTGATACCGCATTAGGTATCCTTCAATGCCGAAGACATTCGCCCACCGAAGGACATCGGTTTCAGGGCGACGGGCGCATTGGCAGTGTCTCCTCAGATCTTTGCGATTTGAAGCACTGAGCGGCACTGCAACTGTTATGGACAGGCGTGTCGCTTACCATCAGGCGTGTACTCCGTCCCGTCACTTAGTATCATAAAAAACCCGCATCTCCTTAGAAGAGACCAGTGCCCAGAAGTGGAATGATTAAGACGTATTTTCCTTATTCGTTTTGTATTCAGATCGAGGAGCGGCGACGTGA